TGGATATTTAAAAAATAGTATTTTTACTTACGGCTGTAGTAACCTGAATTTGATGAATTAAATTATTTATTAAAACTCGGGACAAATGGTTATAGAATGCTATATCTATATTACTTAATTTTTTGTAACAATTTAATTTGGACTTCATAATTATAATAACCACTACCATAATTTAAATATTTTTAAATAATATCTTTAAATATTTGATAATATTATGATTTTAAAGTTTTAAAAATTTATATCTTTCATTGAATTTTTAATTATCGAAAAAAAATGTACGTATTAAATGTATTTTTAAATTTGAAGTTTTATTACAATCACATTTTAGTATACATATATGTTATAAGTGTATTTTAGAAACTCAAATAATAATTCTTTAAATAATTCTATATAGTATATACTATAATCGGTTATAAAACAATAAAGAACAATGGTTTAAACAATAATATTTATAGGTATACGTTTTAAAATAATATCGATTTCGACACGAAAATTTCTCTGGAAAAAATGTATCTAATGCAATAGTTCTTCCACGATTGATCGTTTGTAGGAACAAATATTCATCAGTTGGCTTTTCGTAACCAAAGAATGATACGCTTTGTATCCGCAAGCTATGGCAAACTAAGATTATCTAACTGACATCTTTACGCATTAAGATTAGTAAATACATCTATGAATTATCTTTGTTCGTGATCGTCTGGAAGAACCGTGCGATTTCAACGTGATACATCATATACAGTCGTACACGTATTATATTATCCATCTATTTCAAATTATTCACGTTTATAATACAGCTGAATATAACATTACGGAACATTTAAATCGATCGGTAACAAATGAATAACTTGCAGGTCACGTGTTCGAAAACCAAGTATTCGGATGCAATGCGATTATGTGAACGAATAATATGTATATGTGTTTTCGAAAGGTTGTCAGTTTGAAAAATAGTAATTGACAATTATAATGCGGCAATGGATGAAATAATTCCGTGCCAGATAAATCGAGTAATTGTGATTACGTACATTGAATTATTATCTTCAGTATCGTTTTAAAAAGTGTAACATCTTACAGTATCGATGTGACGTCGAAATTCTATAATAGACCCATTCGAAAGGTAGTATTACCATATTACAGTAATTCAAAGTTAATAAAACAATAAAGTTAAGCAAAAACACTTAGGAGTAGCCATATCAAAAATCCAATCCAAACCAAAGCCGATATGATACAATGTAATTATTTATGCAATATTTCTGTTTCATAAAAAAATTGATTTTGTGAAGCGGTAATGATTTATTTAGTTACTCGGTTAAGGGGTTTAGCCCCCTCTCCACAAACATACACACACATACGTATAACCGGGAGTTACCCATTTGCGCCAAAAAAATTAATTTGTTTTGGGTATAGTCTATTTGCGCCAAATTTACCTGCGTAAAAATTTTACATTATCGAATTGGTTTATTGGTTTATTGGTTAATTAAAAAACTCGTCATATCTGTAACAAATAATAACATTATTTTGATAAATCTAGTCTATACATTTTAAAGCTTTGTAAATTATTGCGTAGAAAGATAAAGAAAAGTTTTATATCAGTTTTATTATGTTAACAACTTAGTTACTTCGTTAATCGTTTCGTCATTCGTCAAAAGAACAATTTCAGTGTGATTTTATTATTTTATTTTACATATTATCCTTGTTTATATAAATGTAATTACGTTAAACTAATTAATATCTGAATTATAAATTATAAGAATGGAGTTTATAATAAGCACAAGAGGGAAAAAATGGTTGTAGAAAATGACCATAAGAATATTTTAGCATATACATCTTCTAAAAATTTTGAAAATAAAGTTAGTAACTATTTTTTATTGTTTGAAAGAATTTTTGTTATTATTATTTTAAAAATTCATACAATTTACTGTAATTTAAATAAACCTATATTAATTTTTGTTTGAGAAAAAAATGTATTTATTTATTATAGTTATATTAGGTTAATTTGGCGCAAATGGGCTGTATTTAAAACGAATTTTTTTTTTTTTTGTGCAAATGGGTGATGTCTTATGACCAAAACAAAAAGTAATCATAATAATAATTATTATTATTATTATGATAAAACATAATTTTAAAATATCGTTAGAATTGACATTTATTTATTTATAGTTTTTATGTTTCTCTTATAATCTGGAATAAGCAGCATAGGTACCTATTGTGCGTTCCTTTTATTTTTTTGAATCGTACCAATTGTGCCCTGCAAGTTATAAAATCTAATCAATATTTATTTCCCTTCCCATTTTTATACAGAATTAAGATTATATGTATTTTTTTTTTTTTTTTTTATAGTAATAATTACTACTACAGATAAGTTAGAAATATTATTTTTGCTTTTTATATTATTATTATATTTTTGTATATAATATTTTATAATTGTAATTAATAAATAATTATATCGGTAACAATTTAGAAAATAACTGTTTTATGAATTCAAATCTACTACATGTTTTTGGTTAAAAATCTGTCATTGCTTGTCTAAAAAATTGTTCTTTATTAATTTGAGCAATTATAAAATTGTTTAATTGAGTGCTCTATTTATTTATTTTTGTTGTATAATTAATAAATTGTAATCTATTCAGAGAATCAATAAATTGAAAAATGCTTGGATGAGCATTTTAAAACGTCGCGTTGAACTTAGAATGAAAATAATCGCAATTATTAGTAGTTCGCAAAGAAGTAACCGAGTAATATGCACATAATAAAATAGGAAATTAGATTCCAATAGTACGATGATATGCAACCTTCTTTAATCCAAAATTATTTATTTTGATAATACGACCCCCCCTCTTCTTCTACCAACATTATGTAAGAATGTAAGATATAAATTTTTCATTTAATTGGAGACCCCCAGGTTGCGCACCACTGCAACAGTATATATGTTTCTAATATATGATTAGTGAATATATCTATTGTTTCATCTAACGATTTAATAGATAATAAATCGTTTGTGAAACAGTAGATCATTTCGTCAGGATAGAGAAACGGTAATCTTAAAAATATTTTAACATTAACAAGTATCACTATCAATTTTATGTTCTAAACTTGGGTCAATAAAAAATAATTTCTTATACCTTCGCTAATTCGCCATAATCAAAGTTAAAAACTTGGTTTTAAAAAAGGAATACGCATAAAGTAGTGAACCATTAACACTGCACTACAACAATTATTGTGTCTGTCTACATAATAATATAACACACAAGATAATTATCAAAGGTTAAACGTAATAATTTATACTAAATTTTGATAATACTAAAATATTTGATAATAACCAATAATTTCGCCTTTAAACATTTTATATATCACAAGTAATTGGAACGCAATTCAGAAGTGCTCAAGAAAAACCCAAGAGGCAATTAGTATTATACCTTTTTACACCATTAAATACTAGACGCAATTCGTCGCAGCGCAGGAGAAATGGTCTCGAATTTTCGGGATTTTTTTTTTTTTTATAAAAAAAAACGATGTTGTTAATTGTTATGTAGGAATATTCGAACAGCCTATTATTACCACTACAAACTTAGTTCATGGTTAATACTTGAATATTGTTAAACAGCTGTTGGCACATATTTTTACTATCTTCTATTATTTGGTAGTCAATGACCATGACACATTAGGGACTTAAGGGTTTTTCACGCTGCATTGTGTCACGTCTTACGTGTATTAAATGTGTTGACAAGACATAACTTACAATTTGAATGCGTATTTCAACTTCACCATAACGATGCTCTTTTTAATACAAATTACTAGATACCACTAATACCACTACGTACCTAAATACATTTTGTTTTTATCGTAAAAAAATTAATCATTATCTAAAATATACTTGATATAATGGACAAAAATCATTATAATACTATGACATTTATATGCATTATTCTATAGACTTACACATTTATTAATCATTATTATTATTATCACCTAAGTACTTAAAATTGTTATTGATGGCTTATTTAAAATTCTAAAGTACTTTGTGAAATATTTTGAAGATAATAACGATAACATGAAAATAATCTAAACGTATATTTTAGAAATTATTTAAACACAGTTCAAAAATATGAAAAATTTAAAAAACAATGTTTATCCGTTATTTAAATCATTTTAATTATATATACATTACATGATAAACATCAAACATTATTATACATTTTTAATTATTTCCGAGTTCTAAATAACATAATAGTTTCTTATAGAAAAACCTTACGGCTAACATTATGACGTGAGCGGGTAATATAAAACTAAAGTAATACACATGTTACTTTCAATACGACATTATTATTATTTGTATTAAACAATAGTGATAGCCCATTAGCGATATCATAAAAATAATAATATTATTATCGTCTTTGTTGACACTTAATGACGAAGAATTATATAAGTACTAGCAGTGGAATCATAGACATATTTTTCTTGAGGCAATCGCTCCAAAAGACTTAAAGGGAGAATATTTTTTTTGAAAAATGGTGTGAAAATATCTTTATATATTTAACTACCATTATTTAATAAATAATATAATAATATTTTGATTTTAATTTAGTATTTCATCGTGATAAATTATCATTTTAAAATCGCCATATTATATAGGTAACAAGACGTATTCAACATTGTTGTATGGAATGAAAAAAATGCGAAGATAAAAAAAAAAAAAAAACCATAAACAGGCAGATCATAATGTCGTGTACGGGTGGATAGTTTCGATATCTTCCCTCGTAGATAAATAAATGTTCGTGATGCCAATCGTCGGGTGATAGGTATTATTCCGACGCAAGCAATAATGCACAAGATTAAAATATTCATGACATAGGTACCAACGCACCTCGACTGCTGCTGCTGCAAACGTCGCTGCCGCCGGCGCTGTTTCTTCGCTGCCACCGCCGTCGTTGGTGGGGAAACTCGAGGACGGCACGGCAACCGGGCCCGCCGGTCGTCCAATGGGGCCGTCGACGCCGCGTCTTTTCCACAACCACCGCGACAGGCTGGCTCCCGAGACGACCGCGCGACTTCGAGTTCTGGTGCTCACTCGTGTCGCACACGTTCACCTGTTGAAACGCGCGCGCAAAGCAGCACGATGCGTAGTTCCGACGTAGCGTCTACCGTGGTCCGCCACAGCCGTCATCGCGACCATCGCAATCATCGTCCAGGGCTGCAGATGCTCGTCGCATTGCTCTGTCTGATTTCCGGTAAGTCTCGTTTTCCGTCGCATTCGGCGGTATACGTTACGTTATTCCGTTAGCTTGCTTATAAGTTATAACAATAGGCTAATACACGGCTGTACACGCGTGAACGATTTAACTTCGTAATAGTTACAGTGACATTCGCTTATGTTTATGATGTGTATAATTGAATAATGATATCGCCACCGTTATAATATGAATGTGTCCCGTTCGATGAATTTCCGCTCGATGTATTATTACTATTAATTATCATTATTTGACACGAGTTCCTTCAAACCTAACATATTAAGTACAAATAACAAACATATTATTGATTTTAAAGGTGTAAATGCGTAAATAATAATTTCTTTAAAACCCGGCAGGGGGCTTTTTCAAATAAACGTATTATATTTTCAACACAATAGTCGTAAAGTATTAAAAAGGTTTCTTTTGAAGAGAAAATTACTTAAATTTATAAAATTAATAAACACGTCCAAGAAAATTGCAAAAAAGGGCACGTTTAAGCTGTGACACTTTTATCAAAAAGTGTTTTATTTTTTTCCCCTTCTATTATAATATAAATATATCTATTTTTAATCATGGTACAAGGAGTTTAATATATTTTTATACTTTAAATCATACTTTTTGATAAATATTCTATACGCTTAGTCTTTACATCGACTGATGAAAACCATCTATCAACCTGCATCAGATATTAATATTATGTTTTTATAAATTGTTTTTTTAGTATTTGATTTGACAATATAATACCATTATAATATACATAACATGACTCAAACACATTCTCAGAAACAAAGTTTAATCTATTACATAAAATATTTGTTTTTCCTTTTATTTGAACCGTCTTATATTTGTTCGTAAATAATTAATTATATAGGTAAATACATAAATTAGGAAATTTTAGAAAATTATGCTGCCTATCATATGAAAATTACACGTTGGATAGGTGTCTTTTAACATATTATTCACTTATTGTGTTATGCCAACACATTGTCCACCAATCTATTCCTGTCCATTATAATATATACAAAATACCTATGGTAAAAAAAAAATATAACAATGACGACGACACGGATTTACCGGTATAAAGTCACGCGCGTATTCAGCTCAAGTAAATAATTTTTTTCTTTTTTATTTTCTTGGATGGTTTTCACCTCTTCATTGAAATTCAGCGTCCGGATAGAGACAAAACCCCATGGTTTCCCCATTCGTTCGGCCCAATTATTATTATCGTTGATACGAGAAAACTACAACCGTGTTAAGAGCGTTTAAGTATATAATTAAACAAGATTCTATGAACCAACAATATTCTCTACAACAAGACAAAACTAATTCAAAGGGTTGGACCAATTACCTAAATTTTTATACCGATTAACATACTAAATAATATTGATTAAACCAATTCAAGTTAATACACATTTTATGGTGTCACTCGTTTAATTAATTTAAGTAATCATATGATCATAAACTAAAATAAAATTAAGAATAATAATATAAGACAATAGATATATAAAAACTAAAAATTATTAATAAACTATCCATAAAAAATTAATAACACCCATATTACTTAGTCAGCCAGCCACTCTCATCATACTAATCATTTCCGTCGTTCTGATTAAGTACACAAATATATGAGTGCTAGCAAAACCACATTTTGAAATAACTGATCGTTGTTGACCCTTTATGTCTATAGGGACATGTCTTACTTGATGATTATTAACGGTCCCATTGTTCCTGACGCTGAAATCGCATATTTGTTTTTATTTTTGTTAACACCACGGAGGTCATCGTGATTATTATTGCTCAAGTTAGTTGGCAATAAAATATGATTTTACTTTTCCACATTTGCTGCCTTTCACTATAACTACCATCGTCAGCACTATCATACTCTAATTCTAATCAAAGACTAATCACCGATATAAACTACGACCGGGGCGGTGACACTCCTTCACACTACAGCCATGTTAAACTTGACTTAAAAGATCAAATTATACATGCATGTATGATAAATGTTTATAATACATAAAATATTCTTGGGCAATAGGTATATATTATATTATACACTCAGAAACTTGTTAATACACATTGTAAAATATAAGGTACTACACGAAGTCAAATTTACTGCGAAAATTACCGCATTATAAAATGTACATTTAAAACTCTTACATGTATATATGAGTATAATTATAGTTTGGTGAATTAGTCAGGCATTAGGCTACACTATATGGCCGACAATTAAAATGGCTATCATGGGACAAGAGGATGACATACAAATGAAGAATATATAACGACAGAAGACTCAGACCAGTCGTTAGTGCATTTCATTTATATACTCAGATATGGTATTAACAGTGTCTCTCTCAGGTGGCTAGAAAATAAATTATCATAAAGGTTCTTTTAGGATAATTTTTTATCAAATAGTAGTGAAACCATGGCAGGCCCAGTTACATAAACTCACCAAGAAGAATTTATTTTATTATACATATATACGATATAAGCTAAATATGCGCACTAATAGAATTTGATCTCTATAGATGAGAAATCTTGTTGTAAGTAAATTACGAAATATAATGATACCGTATATCGTACATGAAGCTATATCACAATAATAAATTAATAACTATTCACATAAATCACAAACTGTAATGATATTAATGTCAAAAGCCGAACAATTTACGAGTAATGAGGAGTATATTATGTGTTCGATACGACTATAACACACTATCATATTGACAAATTAAGACGATACGAACTCGAGCGACGATGATTGGGGAGGAGTTGAGATTTCGAGAGACAGCAAGTTATACTAGTGTAACTAATTGCTTCGGTGCGTTCATCGACACTGCATTGCATACACGATTTAATTAAATAGAAGATCGCTGGAACGCTAGTGAAAACTATATAAATTAATACGCGTATACCACTGTGCGCCTGCACCGTCAGAGGTTTCGTTCGGTGTTCGAAAACTTTATGTAGGTACGTAACCACGTATTCCATCGTGTTCCTTCTATTCATTACCACGTCATCCTCCAAAATTCATAATATATACATTGTATACGAGTGATTCTCGCAGTTAAGTAGGACCTTTGATGTGACCAAAACGACTTGACCATAGTTTAGAATTCACTTGGAAAACTAAAAGTTTGCCATTGTCTGGTGTATGTATTTACACGATGAATTGTTTGAAATCAACGAGAAAACCATTAAATCAATAAATTTATTTCGTTCATTAAATCGATTAGGTGTAATTTATATAACAATATTCGATGTATACTAGGGGGATACCGTTATGTAAAATTTAAATTATTCAAAATAATATGTAGACCTTATAATTTTAATAACCGCATAATAAAGCAATAGATATTATCGACTTAATTGTATTTAATGAAACATGTTTCTTATTTTTCACATTTTTATACTTAAAAATATTTTGATTTATACTATAATTATAGGTTTTAAATATTATTTCATTGGGTTACAAAATTGCATAATTTTAAAGTCTTATACGTATAGTTAATCATTATTTAAGCCAAATAATAGCGGTTTAAATATTATATTAACTGCTGAAACATATTGTGCTTGAATGTTTTTTTTTAATGAATAATAACGAAGAGTATAGATAGACAAGACTAAAATATAGCATAATTATCCCAAAATATTTTTAATAGTGATAGACGAGTAGTATTATTTTACTTTAATTACAATCATCAAAGTAATTTATAAGTAAAATTTTTAATTTCACATAAATTATATATTTAGGTCATTGAAAATTTAGGGAAAATGAGAATACCTAAATATATTTTATACTCATATAGTGAAATATTTCTAAATAATGTATGGACCTCAATACTTAATTCTTCTTTGTCAAGTGGATAATGTAATGTGATAATTATGCAAAAAAAACATGAAGTGGATCTAAAATTTATACGTTGTAAGTTTTATTTTATATTAATTTTCCAAAGTAAACAAGTTTTCTGGAATAAACTTGAAAAAAAATAAGTTCTCATTTAATCATTTGATATGAAGACATTTAAATTTAAAAGTATGTACTATGAAGTGTAACTATGTATAATAATAAAAAATAATTTTGAAAATAATTAGAGCAATTTAAGTGAAAAATCGCTAAGAAATTAAAAATTATAATATATTATTAATTAATTTTATAAACAAGGTAGGTATTTCATAAAAACAAATAAAACAATACCTAGTTCATTTTGCCAAAATATTTATATTCTCTTTCTCAACTGAGATGATATCGTACCTCAGCGGATACATAACAGTTCAAAATACACAATCTAAAATTCCCAATTTAACTATCGATTAAAATAACATATTTTAAATAAGTGATAAAAAATGTTTAAAAAAATATATAAAATTGAAGACTTAAATTAAAATTATAAATTTAATATTGCCCGTAGATCATAATATTACTAATTGTATTTTTCCCATAGATTTCGATAAATATGTAATGCTTATCATATGGGAATAATTACTGGAAAAATGATTTGTAATAACATAAATTAGTTTACTGATACACAAAAATTATTCTTTCATTCGTTCAACTATTCACAATTTTATTAAATAATTTTGTAATGTATATATTAAAATAATAATAAAACTTAAATATACTTTTTTTAAAAACCTCATTACCTTTTTCTATATTAAAAAATTCAGTAATTCATTATTTTTAAACTATACATTTAACAGATTACTAAAAATTAATATTAATCTGAATTTTTATTTTTTATTTAACAACCATGCGGAATTCATTAACCTAAAATACTTGCACTATTTAACAAGATGAATAAAATTTAATATTGCTAGTAAAAATAAACTGAGCAAACTTCTCAACCATCTTTACCATGTGCAAATATATAAAATATACTTAGATGATTTCTCTAAGATAATTTTTTGTTTACACTACACATAGGTATGTTTTTAATTTAATTTACATTCTACTTCTTTTTATAATTACATATAGCAATTCACATAAAAATAAAATAAAC